CAAACCCAGCCCACTGCCTTCGAGTCGAGTCCACCTCATCGGGACCCTCGAGGCCAGGGTAGAATTGCTCCACTGGGTTTCTGAGACTGTACATTTTTATGGAAGCAGACTGCAACAGCTTTTCCTATGGGGCAACTCACGGGCTCTAACCTTGACATTTTAAGTTATAAGCTCAATGGTGTACCACCAGGGCTCTCTCTCTCTCCATATAGATGTATGAATATATGTATGTGTATGCCTATGGTATATGTCCATATGTATGTACGTATGTGTGTATATATGTATGTGTCTTTTGGAAACATCTCTTCAGAGGGAGGCTGTGTGGCAGTCGGCTATGTCAACGCCAGTATTTACCTGTGTCATCAAGCAGCTACAAGGGTTAAAGAAAGGCCACCAATAGCTGGTGACTCAGCTGTCCTCTTCCTCAACCTGAAAGATTTGCTCTTTGACAAACTAGCAGCCACGGTGAATTTGTTCAATTAAACATTCATTCATTCTGTACGTCTGCTGGCAGTGCACCCAGCTGGCATTGTGTTGAGTATTGGGCGTGGAGGGAAGAGGTTGGAATCTTGGGGATGAATCAGACAAAATCTCTCAAGTTGGTCATCAGCATGTGGGGAAGGCAGATACCTGTAATCGCAACATAAGGGTAAACGTCACGGTAAAAGAGTTAGGAAGGAGCGTGTGGGAGCCCAGAGCAGGGAGTTCTTATGCATCCCGGAGCTTTTGGTGAACGAGTCATAAATGAGAGGATGAGTGAATTGGGTCTTGAGGGTTGAGTAAGAGTTCACCAGGAAAAGAATGAAAGGAATGCTGTTTCAAAGTTATGTGGCCGATGACAGGAGTGGTAGTTCACTTTGAATTTGCTCTGAATGTTACATGATTCTACCTATCTTGAGGCGTCCATTCTGTTCATCCCCAAAAGAACAAGCTTAATTTTTAAAAGTAGGGTAGATAGTATCAGTCCACTTGCCTCTTAGCTTCATCTCTTATTAACAGTATGACCTTGGGCCCAGCTGGGAGCAGGTACTCATTATGTATTCATTTCTCCTCCCCTTTTCTCATCCTGATTAACTGCAGGGTTGGCCTACGCAGTTCCTGAGCCAACTTGAGACACTGGGAACCTGTGGGTCCACCAATAAGTGGTCCTTGGGGCTTTAGTGAGTGTCCTGAAATCCCCTGTGAATGGTTGGAAGGAGGGGCTGGTACTGTGGGTACCCATGTGTCTCTAGACCTCAGGCCCCCATACTTCCATCATGCTAGCTTAGTAGCAGGGTTCTCTATGAGGTGGTGTGAAGCAAGTAACACGGTCTATGGGTGATCGGTGAGGCATGACTGGCATTTAGTGGGTCGTGTCCAGTGAAGAGAGTACCTGGAGAGTATGAATTGAAAAGTTGGGGGTTCAAAATTTACCCGGAGGTACCTTAGAAGAAAGGCCTGGTGATTTATGTGTGATAGACCATAAAAGGCCTTAGCCCTTAAAAACCCGAGGACACATGGTTTTACTCTGACACACCTGGGGTTCATGAGTAGGAGTCCACTGAGCAGTAAGCAGTTGGGTTGCCTTGTTTGCTCTGGGCAGTAAAATCCCTACCACATGATAATGAATTGACCTTTTTACTGCCCACCTTGCAAATGGTTCCTAACCACCCGTGTAGGCAGAAAAAAAGCGGCCCATTATGATCCGAGTCCCAAACCTCTATTCCCATTTGTACATAAACATTAAAACAAATCACAGTTTAAATATACTCCCGGCTTTTAAAGAATGCTCTGATCATGTAAGTTGAGGGAAGATGGTACATTGTTTTGCTTGGAACCTTACCAAGTGTTGAGTCACATGGCGCTATTAGAATGGCCAATTCAACACACCTGCATCATCTGCCTTTGTTGCTGAATGCTATGCGCCTAGATGGGGCTGTAGACATCAGACTGCTCCTGAATCTCTTCCATTGCAGTCATGTCCAAGGATGTCTGTGGTGAAATATTTGTTAATATTTTATTACAGA